TTCCAACTCAGATCTGAAAAACAAATAGTGGACGGCTGTTTTCTGACTGGTCAGCAGACCGCCGACCGTTCGGGCCTACTGGTCAGCTGCAAAACGGTCAGCGGTCGGCAGCTATGCAACCCTTGTCAGGGGGTCAAAAATGTCTGGACCAAAAAGTAAAAATAAAAAAAAATTAGTGGGGGTGCCAACCGGGCAGGATCATCAGCGGAGTTGACAAGACAGTGCGCGCACAAGTCACAGCTAAACCAGCCCTTTCACGGAAAGTTTAAGCAGTGGAGGACGACTCATACAGCATCTATACCCCACCAACTCAGCTGCAGGACTTGGAATTTGACCCGGCAGAATGGGTCTGGAGGTCGGCAGGCACAACGTCACGCACTGAGCGGAGAACCGACATCCTATACTACCCCACACGCCTGGGCTACAGACTCAGAAGGAGAGCGGTCAACACTAACGACATTCTGATCCAGAGATGGGAGAAACACCTCCCTGGGACCCAAGTCGCTCCAGTGGCACATTCCTCTCGCTATGAGAAACCTGCACATTCGAAGTATGCAATGGCTCATCTACTACCACGCCCTCCCGGTCAACAAATGGCTCAACAGATGCCGCAGGACGGCGGCCAGGCGGGAGCTTGATGACCTCTGTGCAATCTGTGACGATGATGTACAGGAGGACCTGTCTCACTGCCTCTTGCATTGCCCGAAAGCACGACAGCTATGGGCCAGGGCGGAAGCCCTGTGGGCAACCGTGAACACGATGACGCTGCCAGATAATCCGACAACCTGCCTCACAGGATTGGCAGAGCCGCGGTTCCCAGACAAATGGCAAATGACTCTCTTCCACAGATTGCGCTCGTTGACACTCTTGGCATTCTGGAAGCGGCGTTGTAAGGAAACAATAGGTGAGCAATCTGTATCACAGGCAGAAACATGGGTGACAGTCACGCAGAACCTACGGATCGAGTATCAGTCCGACTGGAACCGGTTACTGAAGAGTATCAAGGACGGCCCAACAAAGAAACAACAGATCTTAGACAATTCTCCAAAGACAGACTGGGCACAGGACAGCTGGGCTACATAGGAGTTAGACCAACTAGTATGGACACTCACTGACGGATCCATGGAAGCGGCCTTGGGGCCGGCCCCGGCACAAGAGCCTAGTATTAGCTTGAGCTCCTGCTGAGATGCAGGGTATCGAGGTAGATGCGAACTTACAGTCAGGGTTCAAGGTTTCGCCAACTGAGATTCGAGACTGCACCCCTCAAGGACTCTCAGCCAACTGGACTAGTAGCCTCACTGACTCTAGCGCTTCAAGAACAGCCGACATCCCCATCGGCTGAGAGGAGCAGGGGGGACAAAGGAAGCTTAGGGAGTACAAAGCAGCCAAAGCATTTAAGGCACAGAAATGGCACATAGCGCAATTAGATCAGAACAGTTCAGGAAGCCACAGGATGACAAGGTCTTAGAGACACACACACACACACACAAGACCAACAGTTAGTGGGAACTTCTGCACACAAGCTAAACACAAAAGGAGTAGCTCCTGTAAGCTAAAAGCTAACTTAGGCAGGGGTGAGGGGTGGTACATCCTTTCGAACGTTTGGAAGTAACCAATGCCGTCCTCTCGGCCCTCTCAACCATAATGGACAGGAGCGTGCTTGTGTCACTCTTTTATTCATCTTTGACTTGCCGGGGGAATAGGAACCGCCGGACTGTCACTCCCCAGAATGGTAGGAGCCAGAACCAGAAGGCTGTGTTTTTTAACTTTCTTTTTTTCTTTTCTTAAAGCACTAGTACCTTCGTCGGTTCGGAAAATAGAGGGCCTCCGACCTTTCAGGAGGCCGAAACGAAACGACGGCCGCCGATCAGATTTATTAATGGCAGCCGTTGTCGGGCCCAGCCTCCTAAAAGTTCAGGACTAGGCTAAAACTTGTCGAAACCGGACGGCAAAGGTACTAGTGGTTTAAGGCGGGGTATTGGCAGGCACTCACCTGCTTTGGACTTAGTAGTTCAGGCAGCAGAGCACCTGTGTTACAGCAAATCAACAAGCACAAGCACATTTAACTAGCAGACATGCAGAGTTGCAAACAGTGCAAAGCAGGCACAAGACTAAAGAAACAGAGGAGAAAACATTAAAAAAAGTTTGATTAACTTTGAACTTTGAACTTTGAAGTAAGTAATTTAAGTTCATAATAACTTCATACATGATATAACTTAAAAGTTTGAGCTTTGAAGTTCAATTCAGAACTTCAGAGTCTTCAGACTGGCAGCACGGTCAGCGGTCTCTCTCTCTCTCTCTCTCTCTCTCTCTCTCTCTCTCTCTCTCTCTCTCTCTCTCTCTCTCTCTCTCTCTCTCTCTCTTGTCGGTGGGATGTCTTGTGCAGTTTAGATAGGTTCTGATTCGGAGTCGCCCTCTTCCTCCGACGAACTGCCATCTTTCTCATCGCCTTCGCTTTCATCCTCCTTGCCACCGCCATCAGTCCCATCGCTGCCACAACTCCCGTCATGACCATCACCACTGCCACCACTTTCGACCCCAAAAACCTGCAGTACATGTCTTGTGTCCAGGCCTCTAGGCCCTGTCCGGTGGGGTGGAACGACAGCAAAAATTCACCCCGTTATTTTTCAGGGGGCGGCCAGTACCCGAAAAACGTCCAAGACCACCCCCTTTAATTTTTTTTTATTTTTTTTTTTTGCCCTGCGGGCCTCCCTCCGGACGTCACAGCCCGGACACCGGACCCCCACATGTTGTTCCGGACTCTGGAACCCGGTCCGGACGTCTGGCCGGTTACCATGGCTGCAAATCCTCTCCTGCTTGCCACTTCAGGCAAAATGAAAATCCTCTCTCCTTTTAGCCCACTTCGAGGACATAAATGTCCTCTCCTTCTTGCTACTTCAGGATTTCCAGAACCACGTCCTTCGGGACATCCAACATCCATTAAAATTGGAACGATACAGACAGAGAAGATTAGCATGGCCCCTGAAGCAAGATCACATGCATAAATTGAGGATTATGCAAACCAGTGTTATACCAGCTCTCCTGCGCCAAACGGGGTTTTGATGAAGGCGAGGGTTTATCTCCAAATTCTAGCACAAGGCAGGTGGCAGTGGTGAGGCATTTAGGAGGCATTGACGACAAAAATGGTGCTCTTGATGATGAAGTTGAAGGACATGAGGACATCAAACCAAAAAGAGGAGAGGAAGGATTAAGGACATCAACATCGAGAATATCATTACAGTGACAAGCAGGCGGATACCACCACAGTTGACACCGGTGGTCATGATATTTTTTATCATGATTGTTGTTGTTGTTGTTGTTGTTGGTTGTTGTTGTTGTTGTTGGTTGTTGGTTGTTGTTGATGATGCCGATGCCGATGCCGATGCCGATGCCGATGCCGATGCCGATGCTGATGCCGATGACGACGACGACGATGATGATGACGGTGATGACAGCAATGACGGCGATGAGGATGGATGATGACGACGATGAGGATGGATGATGACGACGATGATGACATCAAGGCTGGCGATGACGGCGATGACGGCGATGACGGCGATGACGGCGATGACGGCGATGACGGCGATGACGGCGATGACGGCGATGACGGCGATGACAGCGATGATGAAGTTCAATGATGACGACGATGGCAATGATGACAATAAAGATGATGATGATGATGATGATGATGATGATGATGAGGAGGAGGAGGAGGAGGAGGAGGAGGAGGAGGAGGAGGAGGACGGTTGTGACCCAGTTTTGGCTGTCATGCAACTGTGTGCCCTTGCAGACCCCACAGAAAGCCCATGGACACTGACCATGCACCAACTAGAAGATTGATCAACAGTTTGGGGCCTAGTACCGCCGACCTCAGGACCCAGGTGACCATCTGGCGCAATCTTGTTTTGCACTAATCATTGTGATTCTTAAATACTGCAAGGAAAATGAGCAATAGCGAATTCCAGAAACCAAGCAGCATCATACACATGAAACCAGATAAGTCTTGACCTCGAACCAAAAGCAGAATTGCAACTCGAGTTCCACCAAATAAGAGCACAGCGGAAGCTCGCAAGTGACAATGCGGGAATAGTCAATCATCATCATCGACAATAAACGAATGTCGAATTCCTATCTGGAGCTCAGCGCCAAGACTACGAATGGCAGATCCTATTTAGCCTATCTACAATGCCGCTGGTGACGTCAACAGCTTCCTGAAGTACGAGCAGATCTCGGCCAATGCCGTTCGACTCAAGCACCAGGTATGTCTCGCACTTCACTCACAACCTCGATCCCCCACACAGATGCCACGTGCACCCAAGGACCACCATGCGCCCCATCCAGCATCTCGCAGGCCAGCTTGGCTATGGCTGCCTGTGTGTGCCCTGCTCGCCCGTGCGCGCGTGGGCACTTGCCTTCCAATAGCGCAGCATGTAGCGAGTGCCCGAATGCTGAATGCGGAGGCAGGCACTTTCCTTTATGGAAATGGCCTGCCTGCTGCGTGCTGCCTGGCTGCGCTGGGCCCCTACTCACAAGCTTCCGGTAGGCCCCAAGTGGCTGAGCCCCTGTCCCAGGGAATCAGACACAGGGCCTGGGGTGGTTACCCGTGTCCAACTGCCAGCGGACTGTGTTCAGTCCATACCCCGTGTCTGGCCCAGGCCCTGCCTCAGATACATTTGGAGAAAAGGCAGGCAGGGCCTGGGCTCACTCAACCAACTGGCGCTGTGCAACTGCCTGAAATTCCCAGTTGCGTGAAAAGCCCAAAATAGGCCTCTCGTCACTTGTCAGGCCCGCCTTCACTTAGGGCGGCCGTTCTTACTGGAAACACGGCCCAGTAGGGCTTATCGAGGCCTTGAGCCTCACAATACTTTTATTCGCGTACTTTTACTGTTTTTCACAACTTTTACTATTTTATGTAAATCTTTGCCCAGCAGATCTAACATACCAACAGAAAAGTGCAGCCACAGAAAGCAAAAAACAAGAAAACCTCCAATAACTCTCACCATGTCCGTATCGCTCGCTGAAATGGACTTCCCATTGCAGAAGGCACCTCCACCTGCACCCAGCCATCGTTAATAGCACAACAGTTCCATGGTTACATGGAGCACCTGGCTTACCAAAAAAGATCCCAACACAAGACAGGCCGAGCATAGACCTTCGCATAACTACAGGGTTTGAGAAGAGTTTGTTTTATTGAGCAACAACACATTGCACACAAAAGAAAACGTAACAATTTACTCTCTCTCTCTCTCTCTCTCTCTCTCTCTCTCTCTCTCTCTCTCTCTCTCTNTCTCTCTCTCTCTCTCTCTCTCTCTCTCTCTCTCTCTCTCTCTCTCTCTCATCTTGCGTCAAAGAAAATGGACTTCCGGAAATCCAAAAAGGAAACAAAGAAAAGACTACACTCTATGGTCACTTCTCCCTATCTCGCCACCCTCATCATCCCCCTCATATCGCCACCTCATGTTTACTGCATCATATTCTTAGGAGTGCAATGATGCAGTCCGAAAACTCTGCACTTTTCTGAGATGACCTGAAAAATTGCAATCTGAGAAATCTGCATTTTTTCTGAGAAAATGCTGTCATTCAATCTGATTGCTGAGGTATCCGAATCTGAGTTGTTTTTTTTTGCTGTGTTTTCTGCCTCTGTGTGCGTCCTGCTCATGATGTATGTATGCATGCTGTGTGCTGGCCCGGCGAGGTTCTGAGTTCAAGTTTGAACCTGTGCACTAACTCTTCGGGCTGTGCTGTGTGTCTGTGACTCGGACAGCCATAGGATAGAGAATAAGTGCAGGCTGGGACATGGCTAAAAATTAGTGGTAGGGGATATATGGAGGCTAGTAGATCGGCCAGGGACATCAGCAGAAACTGATTGGGACCTTGTAGGGATATTGCAGTAAGCCGAGGAAGGCCTACGCAGCTCCGGTAGCTGTCCAGTAAGTTATGATGGCCCATGGCCCGAATGTAGACAGCTTTAGAGGTAGATTCGGATCCTTCAGGAACACCCGGTAGGCCTCTTGCACCCAAGGGAGGATGGGTAGAGGCAGGAAGTGCCGGGCCAAGAGGTACTGGAGGTCAGGCAGCAAGAGTAGCATCTGGTGCAATGAGTAGTTCGCTCATTCACCCACCAGTCATGCTGCTGCTCCGCCCGCCCCGAGGGCGAGGAAGAAGACCCCATGGTTATGGAGGGAGACCAGTGGGAGGTAGGAGAAGGCCTAGGCTCTGGGGCTAGAGGGAGAAGACCATCCAGCCAGGCTATGGAGGAGGAAGCAGGTGGGCTATGGTGGACCTCCATCTTCATCTTCCTGGTTGGCACTCCATTGGAAGACCCCTGCTGGGGTACCGGTTGGACATGGACTTCATCCAGAGAGTAGCTGGCGGACGTAGAAAGGAGAGGCATGGTAGTAGCTGCATTGTCCGTTGAATATGCGTGTTAGGCATCGACGAGAAGCCATAGCTAGATGGCATACCAAGTGAGAAAGAGAGAGAAAGGAAGCTTAATGACAACTCTAGTTACACTGGCAGTAAGGGGCATTGTTCAGACATGGACTTTTCTCCATTCATTCTTCTTTTCTTTTGTATTCCATTGTTAATAAAGAAGAGGAGGTGATTGGGCCCGCAGCCTAGGTCAGTTGGTTTTGCAGGCAAGTGGCATTGAGGAGGTCGTGGGTACAATTCCCCACCGACGCCCGTGGCGTGTTTGGTGTTCACCGGCTGAGATAGTTGGCTTGCCCACTCTTCTCGGTCTTGGTAGGATCCTGGGTTCTCCTAGAGGCCTTCGCCCCTGCCATTCCTCACTGGGTGTTAGCTCTTAGGCTTGGTAGATTGCGCTGCTCCCTGTAGGTTTCGGTTGTTCCAAGCTGGTGTGCTTCGTTAAACATAGGTAGGCAGTGTAAGGTATACTTGAGAGAAGAACATAGCTTAGTTTCTAGAGAAGAAAAAAAAAAAAAAGAAGAGGAGGTGATTACGTGAGGGAGACGATGGTGGCGAGAGGAGGAGGGAGATGACGTTGGTTCAAGCTTGCGTTGTTCTTCTTCTTTTCTTCATTGTTCTCTTCTCTCTTGGTCTCCTTTTTCTTTGTGAGTTTTGATGGATAGCATGGTCTCAAAGTTGTCTTCATGAAATTGACAGGAACATAGCCATTTTGGTATCTGAGCTTGAACGCACATGCTGTTGAGAGGTGCTGATGTGTTGCACCCCTATCCCTGATCCGAGATGACTCGAGCACGTTACTCTCGGACTAGGGAAGAGAGAGTCGAAAGTGGGTGGTGAGTAAGTCGCAAGCTTCTCCAACGCTAAATCCAAGTTGGGAGATAGGTGAATGCGTAAGTTGTAGATAAATCAAACCAGCCCCCAGCCCCTTCGAGTCACGGGTCCTCCTCATGCAAAACCTTCCTTCCATCCCCCCCTCTTCACTACAACTCTTGTCCCCCTCCATTTCACCACCCTAACTCCTCTGGCCACCTCCTGAGCACCCCAAACCTACCGTCTTCACCCGAATAGAACGCCCGGTCATTATAGCCGTATTTGGTGCACTTTTCAGTCCAGATACAGCTATAATAACCGGGCGTTTTATTCGGGTGAAGACGGTAGGCTCTTAGCCAGATTGAACTGAGCAATAGCACACAGCCAGTTGGGATCAGAGTCAAGCCCTTCGGTTTAGTATTTCCTCCGGCAGTGTAGCGAGTGCACCTCCTGAAGACTCAGACCATGTTGCTGACGTATCGTGAATATTTCTGCTCTGAATGGCAGGCAGAGAGGTCTCAGACATCGGGTCGTACAGTTCCCCTGGCGGTTGATTGCCCTGTTTTGGCAGCGGGAAGTCTTTCACAACCACCACCTGCATTGGCTTGCTGCTAGTGAACAACAGGATCAGGGAAAGGTCTAGGTGTGAAGCATTACTCCCTTTTGCATGTGTTTATGATGGCAACATTATATCTTCCATATATTGACTCAGTACAGTGTTATATACTGGACCGCACACAGATACTGAAAAAAAGGGGGCAGGCACACAGAGGAAGGAACAGGGAAAGAAAGGGAGAGAGGTGGGGACGCAACAGGAGAGAGAGAGAGAGAGAGAGAGAGAGAGAGAGAGAGAGAGAGAGAGAGAGAGAGAGAGAGAGAGAGAGAGAGAGAGAGAGAGAGCTGACCTGATGTTGCAGTGAATGTTCGAGTAACCCAGCAGAAAGGACCGCCTGAAAACTCTACCTGTGCAAAGCAAGTAAACCATACTCTGTGGATGTAAGTCCTATATGACCAACAAGCCATTTCACATCGGGTATTGCATCTTTTTTTATCGATTTCAGCCTTCCACGGAGACCTCTGCTCAAGAAGATAGAGAGTACATAATACATATCCATTGACATTGACATATCTTCATCAGCATTGTCTTGGCCAGATCATCATCAACATTACAGTTATTAGCATCATCATTCAAAAACTAATTAAGGGGAGGAGCTCCAGACGAGGGAAGTCTCTTTTCAAACTGGCTGCATGAGGTGGTAGGGGATAAAAAGGCGACCCTATTCAGCATTCAGATATTGATTCTCTGAAGACTTCACAACGAAGAATTTTCATACTCCATACATGAATCAACGCATCAGCTCTACAAGCCTGTTGCAAACTTCGTTTCCGTGTCTTAACGTGTAATTAGAACCTGAGGAGTGGGTGCATGAGTAAATGGGTGTGGGCCATGCCATGTGTGTCACTACCATTCCTCAGATCTTTTGGCCTTTTCTAAGGGTGCTACCGTCTTCACCTGAATAGAATGCCCAGTCATTATAGCTGTATTTGGCACAACTTTCGCTCCAGATGCAGCGATAATGACCGGGCGTTCTATTCGGGTGAAGACGCTAGGCCCCTGACATTGTCGTACCCATCAGAATTTGAACTCATGATCTGTTTATCAACAGCCACTATCATTCTATCAAAATTGCATCTGAACAAAATTTCAGGAGGGTAACAGCACCACACATGAC